GTTCCCAAAGCGACTTGAGCGTGCTAGACTGGTTGCAGTTAGGAGATTAAAACCCTGACCCACAGTCCACAGGATGTTATTGTTGAAAGTATTCTGTGAACATCCAGACAATTCTGCCCTCTTCTGGTAATAAATAGTCTTACTCGTTCAGGCCATTTATAACAGAATAATAACACCATTAGAAAATAATATTTTCTTTCTTCTTTCCAGGTGTGTGGGCTGGTAATTGTGTATATATTTATATAGTCTATATTACTTTCTAAAAAATATTTATCTTTCCTTTTACAGAAAGCTGGATGGACGGCCAAAGCTCTTCCTGCGTCGTTTCTTTTCCTCCATTGGTCTGAACAGTGTTGGTAGACTAGTGAAAGGAGGCCGCTCCAGCAGCATGGAACAGCTCAGTATACCCAATCCCCCCCGGGTCAGCTCTGCTTCCCCAAGCCCCACACGCAGACCACAGCCCACCATCCGCATACAGAGGACACCCTCACTGCAAACCCTGAACACAGTGAGCAAGAGTAACAAATACATTTCATGCCATGCCATTTTGTTCAGGAATCCTGTGCTCCTCTGCCATTGTCCTCCTGTTTTATTTTACCACATCAAATATATGCGATTTCTACCTCAAAAAGGTAAGCCACAGGGAGAGAAAATCTTATTTATATCTTTAAACTTCCAGTTCGGCTTTGAAGTATATTTCAATACTTTTTTGCTCCAGTGGAACAATCAAGGCTTTGAAGTATTACCAACCTCTCTGCCTGACACTGGGAGCACAAATAATGCATTCCAGGTTGTCCACGTTTCCTTCCACTTTCTGTGGCCTTGTTGTCCTCTTGGCAGCTGTAAGGGTACACTAAATAGATGTAAACAACATTCTGTTCCAGCCAATCACAGCCTCTATTAGCTTAATATGTGTGTGTGTGTGTGTGTGTGTTTTAGAGGGGCATTGGAGCCAAAAAGTTACAGTTCCAAAACCTGATCTGGTGAATTTTGCTGATATGTAAAACACAATTTATTACAGTGCCATTTATTTGCCACTAGGTGCTGCCACTGGCCCAACTGCGCAAAGCCTCCTCTGTGCAGAGTTTAGAGAGAAGAACAGAGCGTTCAACAATACTGGGAGAGGTGCAGATACCATATGGCCTGGCGCCCAGGTAGGTGTCAAAGAAAAATAAAGTAACAATAAAACACATACTACATTGTTTTACTTCATTAGTTTACTTGGGAGTAGAGCTGAATTATTTCTTCATTTACAGCCCTGATAGCCCTCAGCTTGAGCTTCACAGAGCCTTGAGTGAAGAAGTACTTGCCTCCAGAGTTGTGCGTCCAGTGGGCCGGGTCACCCAGGCTTTCCCGGATGGATCCCTTGTCCTGGAGCTCATCAGACCCCCAAACGGTCCCTTTGGTTTTGTCATCTCAAGGGGCAAAGGTCGACCAGACACAGGTAAACTTTTTTAATCCACATTCTCTTTGTACTGTCTCAAATGTAGAGCTGTTGTTTGATTTTGGTGGTTACTTTTTTTCCCTAGATTAGTTCAAAGTGGGAGGTGGGCCTCCCTAGTGGGCTCCAAACAGTTCCAGTGGAGGCTCAGTGAATGGAAGTGAAAAAATATTACATCAGTTATTACATTAGTTTTTAAAAGGAGATCACATAGAAGAGTGTGTGATTTGGTTAAAGTGATAATTCAGAGATTTGGGGGAATTTTACTTTCTGAGAGTCAGAAACTAATAAATGCCTTGGGACAGACCTTTTTTTAATGTATTTGGTGTAGTCTGACATTATGTCAAACAGCAGTAGTTCAATGGCTGTTGACTGTTGATTGTCTACGGGATCAAATAACATAATCATGATCCTATAGGCATCCAGGAATTGCTAGCACAACTAAACAAGTATACTTAGGGGGTGAGGGGACACCTTTTTCCAAGCTTTGTCTGAGGGGAGGTCCACAGTCTCCGACTCCCATAGATAATTAGCAGGCTATTCTTCAGTGATATGTTGTGTATCTTTAAAATAAAATAGATAAGAGAATACAATCAAAATGTTATTGCTCAGATATAAATTTGCCTTTGACATTACTGTTTAAAGCAAGGCAAAATTGGTAATCAAACATAAGAAGATACCTCATCAAACATGCCAAAATACTGAGCCAATTTAGCAGAAAGTCCATCACATATTGAAGTTCATATCTGTAAAATGTTTTATGTTGTTTTGTGTCAAAACACAAGGGCATCGTTTATCTGTTTTTTCTGCATCTACCTGCTTTCCTCTACTAAAATTCTAACTTCCCCCTCCCTTCTTATTGTTTCCTTCCCAGGTGTATATGTAGAGAAAGTGGGTGACGGCAGTACTGAAGGCCCCTACACAGGTCTGCTTGGCATCGGTGATGAAATTCTACAGGTGAATGGAGAGCCCGTGGCTGGCCTCAGTTTGGACCAGGTGACGCGGCTCATGACCAGGGAAAGCACTGCTTCTCTGCGGATCATGCCGGCCCGACGCAACCAGCGCTGACTGGGAAGATAGGCATGGCACAGAGCCATTTCTAGATCATAATTCCCCACGGCAAACACAACTGATGGACTGTAACCTGTGGTAGATGTGAAATAGTCAGCGTATATTTCAGTGCAGTTTCACAAATCAAAATGGCTGTGTGCGATAGCAGGGTTAGAGGTTCATTTCCTATTAGTGCAAACCTATGTTAGGGACTTGGATTACAAAGACTAATCAATAGAATAACCAAATGACAAATGTAGAACCAAACAAATCAAGCATAGACAACTTTTCTAGCTCAAAACTGGATTATATATTGTGATTTTAATACAAAGTTAGGACTAGAAATACTGATTCAAATCCAGCACGACTTGTTTTTGTGCATATGTTTGTTTTTTATGGTCGCACAGAATTTCAACCCTATCTATTTTAGAACTATTTACAAACTCTCCACAATAAAAAGGGATGCCTGCATTTATTTTGACTTTAGTATTTGTGACAATAACTGTAAATAAATGTTCGAATTGTGATTTATTTTGCTGTTAGAAGCATGCACACAGTAGAGCGTATGACACCCTAAATGCTTAATGAGTGCACCCTATTCTGTCACAGGTTTAACGTGTTCCACAGATCTGTTCCCATTAATCTTGATTATTTCAAAGGATTGACGTGTGTAAGGATGCATGTGCCACAAATGTCATCTTGGCCCATGAGACCCTCAGACTAAAGAGCACAAGCACAAAAGATATAAAAAAAAGCTGCCCTCCACTGGATTGCAACTGCATGGTAAATTATATCTAAACCAAAAAGCAATTAATTATCTCTTTCTATTTTCCTTCAATGGGTCATATTTCCCTGGTGCTCTGCAAGATCCCTCCATTTTACTTGTGCTGTATCAGATATTGCTTCATGAGATTGGTGTCTCTAAAATAAAAATGTTTTATTTAGTCAAACTTTTAGTGTTGTATTTTATACATTCACTCGTTCATTGTGCACATTTGTGTCACACAGCAACAAAAACCTACAGTTTAATCACATCGTATTATAATCATTCAGTTAGATGCATGAAAATATTTAAAATGTGATGAATTTCTTAGACAGTAACACTTAAAATATAGGTAAGTAATAACATAAAACTTAAATATCCAATCAGCCTCCAGTCCCTCTTGGATATGACCAGTTGGGCCTATTCATTTGCTAATTTTATATTATTCATTTGGGCCAGAAATGTAGAGCCTAGTGCTGCCCACTAATAAAACCATCTTGGCACAATTGGCTTTCCTTGAAAGATGCTTACAAAAACGTTTAAAGGGATTATGTTAGACTATGCTGCTGTTAGGAACCGGATGATGGTCGTGACAGCTGCTTCAACAGGTCTCTTGAAGGGTCGTGACTAATTGTACGGCTCCCTACCTTTTTTTTTTTTTTTTTTACATCATGGGTTTAAAAGACGCAGGATATGTGACTTATAAAATATCCCACATTTTACATCTATCTATCTGATGACGCAGCATGCGCTCTATAATTTGCCATGTCACGACTTTATTTGACTAAATTTAAAGTAGCCTACTACATTTATTTGACTGAAAGAGGCAAAAAAAAAAAAAAGCTGTGAAAAATCCGTTATTAGGATGTAGCTACCTGCTACCATTAGGCTGTCCTGAATGTGCTCTGATAGCGTGCTGCTCTTTTATCAGATGCGACCAGGAGCCGATACGCTTTTATCTGCCCCAGCCATGACTCCCCGTGGACCCCGGGGAACCGCCGTCCAAGGTGCGCCCCCCCCAACTCAAATAATGACATGCAACAGCAACATTTATCCTATTTATTTATTAATCAATCGATAAATACTCATGTCCCATTCAATTAAGGCATCGTTGTTACAATTAGGCCTTACACCCTTGTAATTGTATTAATCTGTTCTATCAGTACATCCTCAGCCTCAAGGCGCAGAAATTGATATGGAGGGATACTTTTTAGGATAAAAATGAAAGAATAAAAAAAAGACGACCCTCCGCTGTCATGACTTATCTTATTTCAGGATAAATGGGCTTAGTGAAAAAAAAAAAACCTTTGTTAAAAATATAAATAGGTCAAAAGCTTAACCTGAGCTTTTGTTTCTTTCGTCAAAAAAAATTGAAACACCTCAACTATAGCTCAGCCTACAGTATACTACCTCGCGTTGTTACAGGCCGTTGCGCTGTGCCTGTTTGCTTTTTTTATTTTATTTTTTTTTTAATGCTTTTGCCCTCACAAGCCTATATAGCCCAAGCCCACGACAGCCAAAATAATAAATGAATCATTTCATAAATAATGGGTTTAGGGGCTTATCGGGAATGAAGAGGCCGCTGCCCGTGCGATTATCTCACTCGGCCACATTTGCGGCCTGTGTTCCGCTCCCCATACTGAGGAAGCGCACTGGATTGCAGCGAGGAATAACTCAGCTACACACACACACACACACACACACACACACACGCACGCACACACACGTCGGCGCACGCTGCTCACACAACTGGCAGAAAAAAAAAAAAAAGAAAAACCTCAGACATGGATGACCCACTCACAAAATGGCTCCACTTACACAGTAACATCAACAACACGGCTGGAACGGTAAGTGCAAAAAAAAAGACATCTCTTTATTTAAACCACCGTATTCGTTTGTTCCAAAGGGCTGTAATTGGATTTATATCGTCTAAATTTTATTGGGTCTTACATGCGAAATATTTAACCTATATTTTCTGCTATTGTTTGATCGGATGGTTGGAGACTGTACGGGATGTAATAACGGATGCGAGGCCTATTGGAGAATTCCCAGAAATAAAAGCGCACCTTGTTTTTTTAATCGGCAGTCTGTTGTTCGTTTATAATAATATTCTTAAGGCATTTATGGAATGAATTACCCCCTGAAACACCTAACACGAGTGTGTGCTGTATTCAATATGACAAGCCTTTGATGTTCGGCTTTAACAACATCAGCAGTACGGCCTTCACCAAGATAAAACTGAGAAAAAAAGAGACGTGTGTCGATGGAAATGATCAGGTCCAAGTGATGTGGAAGCTTCCCGAGGTTATTTCTGGATTTGCTGAAGGCAGGAAAAAGGGAGGATTTTATTTCGACGAAGAATGGTAGCTCACCAAGCTCCCTCCGTGGTCCTGGCATCCACAGTCTCTCTATAACAAGACGATTATTTTACCTCTAAATTAACAGCAGCCGAAAATGAGCTTATAATATGTACGGATGTGACTTTAGAGCTCAGACGTTTACGTGCATTTTAGATGCGAGCATAACGGCTTAAAGTGTGCTGAAGGCCAAGCAGGCATTAGATAAGAGATTCATAGACATGCATGCAGAAACCACAAGATAAAGCTCTTTGTAAAATGACAAGTTAACATTTGAAAAATATCACTAGCTCGGAATGTATAATAAAACATATAGGCACAATTCATAATTGTTCAATCAGCCTTTAAGGAACGTATCATATCCCACTTTAAGAAAAGCTCTCAAACCTTCAACAGCTCTCAAAAAATTGTAGAAATCCTCGAGAATTAAAACAGCTTTTAAAATGTAGTTGTCATATAACATTTGTGTTATCATCCCTTGTGTTAAAACATAAGCATTGGAGCTTTTTTATCTTTTTAAAATAGCGAAGAAAATGTAATATTTAAGAAAAATAATTGATCTAGCCAGCAAACAACTAATAGCCTATTGTCTTTCTTACAGTTTGTTTTGTTAGAAATGAAAAGTCTACAATTGATAACACTAATTTATAACAGACTAACAAAAAGAATGATTTCATATTAATGACAGTAATAATAATGGATTATTAACTCTCTATAGGCTTGCATGGGAAGCAAACGCTTGGTTATTTATCTGGTAGGCCTATCTTAACACTGCCACATATTCCTGCTATTATCAATAAATTAATCGAGGAAAATCTTATTTAGGACGTAGTGGACTCGAGCGAGTGGTGACGGTATAAAAATGATGGAAAAACGGCAGCCGGAGCTTTGTCCTGGAAGTCCTGATGCAGAGTCCGGTCCTGTAAAGCGAGAGGACTCCTCCATCATCTCCAGACAGAACGGATGCAAGGAGGACGAGGAGTCGAGGAGAGAGGGGGGGGAGAAGGAGAAGGGAGGGCGCTTCAAGGGGGTTGAGGAGACGGATGACGTTCCTCTGCAGAACTCGAGCAACGGGACCAGCATCAGCATCATCATCAACGGCGTTGCCAAGGAAACTGCCTCTCACAACGCCCTTGACCTGAAAAGGGAAGTGCCGGTGATCGAGCTCTCCAGGAGGGACGCTATAAAAGCGCTGGAGCAGAGGACTGAAAGCCATTTGGTGCCGATCACGGAACTTCGCAGACCTCCACCGCTGCCGCTGCCGCCGCCGCAACGAGACGACGCTCGAATGGTCCAACTGAGCCCAAACGCGTTCCCTGTCCCGGCCCGGGCGATGCTCTACAACCTGGCGCAGCCTCTCGCCGCCATCAACAGGTAAAGGTGGAGAAAGAAAAGGGGGAAATCTTATAGTTTCATGAATGCACGTTTCATTTGACCATTGTGAGTGCTCACTAAAGAAAGTTAGTTTGATGGATTGAAGATGTCCCCCCATTGTGGCCCTGCAGGAGTAGGCTACTGTATTGTGAAATATGCTTGTAGTGTGATTGAGTTTACATTATATTGACATTATTTAGCATCTATGTGCATCACAGATGTGTGTGTGTGGTGTGTGTGTGTGGTGTGTGTGTGTGTGTGTGTGTATGAGTGTGCTAAGGTGGGAGGTGCTTAAGGGTTTATATGCACATGAAGGAAATGATGTATGCTGCAAATTCAGTTTTCTCATATACCTGTGATCTTTTGTCTGCTTTCTGTTGCTGAAGTCTCGGGAGGGCTGAGTCGGGGAGCAGTACAGATGTACCCCAGCAAACAGCCGGTAAAGCCCGGCGCCTTATGAGGTTGAACTCGACGAGGGTAGGCGCATTTTAGATCTTTATAAGTATGGTAAGACGCACTTCTGCTGTGTCCTCCTTCTGCCAATATATATATAGTCCCCTAAACGTCCCCTCCTCATCTCCATTGTCATTCATCCACTGACATGGATCTATACTATACCTAATCTGAGTGTTGCAGAAGATGCCTTGTAAAAAGAAAATTCAGCTTAACTGTTTAACCCAGAGGAATAAATACATCATAATTTATGGCATAAATGAGTGCCGCTAATCGGAATGTCAAATACATGTACCTGCATGCCGTTTAAGTAAGCTCTTTTCAGACGGATTTGGGGTTTATTTCATTTGAAACATCTTTTCCACTGCTGCCCACTCACTGCCATATACATGGGTGGAGGATGGGGGTGCTGCTGCCTCCATGCCAAGGTTTTACTGCAGAGTGGGCTGAAGGATTAAGATAGACTGGGTGTGTTCCAAGGGCGACAATAGCCTGGAAGACACAATTGTTGGGGGTGGGAGGATGTGACTACCTGCAGTGGGGCATTTTATCATACCTAAATAAATAAAAAGTACATAGAACATGGAATAGGGAGCACACTGCATCCCCAACCCCTTATCCTGCGGTTTGGCATGCCAAAGCCATTGTATATCGCATTTGCATAATATTTGGCACACAGCATATTGTACTAACTTTTGCAAGTGTCTATAGCTTCTTGTCCATCATCTGGAAATCCATGGTTGTATGGAGGACGAATTTGCAACTTAATTCTTTAGGATTAACTTTTTTGTTTTTTTCTACAAGCAAAACCAGTGTGCCTCTGTTCTCCTGCTACTGCTTCTTCCATTTTTAGTGTTGCACTTGTAATGCTTTACCCTTTTACAGACCGCAGTATCTGTTTAAGCTCTTGCATTTACTTGTGTAACGTCCTATCAATGCCTCCTTTTCTCACTCTTTCTGTCTTTCTTCTTTTTCTCCCCGTTCCTCTGCTAGCTGGCCAGCCAAAGATTGTGCGACGTATCTTCACTAACAGTCGTGAACGCTGGCGACAGCAGAATGTAAATGGGGCATTTGCAGAGCTTCGCAAACTCATCCCCACTCACCCCCCAGACAAGAAGCTGAGCAAGAATGAGATCCTGCGGCTTGCTATGAAGTACATCAGCTTCCTCTCCAACCTCCTGGAGGACCAGGATGGAGGGAGGAATGTTGGCAGCACAACTGATGGGGAAACAGGGCTGCTGGTTGGGGCCCATGAGGGGGGCCCACAGGGTGGACCACATCAGGACACAGTTGTGGGCTTGGCCAGGGACGATCTTCTGGAAACAATGTCACCGGGTTCCAGCTGTGGAAGCCTGCCTGATGGCGATGCCGAGGGCAGTCCTGAGAGCTTCATGGAGGACCAGGACTCACCTCCTGCTCCAAGGACTCTAACAGCTTCACGCGGGCCCCCGCTTCATCTAGCTTCTAGGGATCTCAGGCGCAATGGACGCCCTTTAGATGGCTCCAGTCGCCGATGATGCTGATGCCAAAAGACACGGACACAAGACCTGAGACTGAAAGAGAACATTGAGAGGAACTGGAAAGGAGATGGATATGCTCAGGACCTGTTAGCTTTGAGTTGTCAGTGTAGGAAGGAGAATCAATCTCTGTGAAGAGAGATAGTGTTGTCCAAACTGGATCATGAGTACGTTCCTGTCTTCGCGCTACACCTGAGGCAGCACTGATGAATTGCTTGGTTTGATTGGTGATCGGTTGAATTTGATCCGACAAAAGACTTGTAAATTCTGCATGTCTCATGTCTTTGACTGATCTGCGGATTATAACTTTTCTGTGTTTTCCAAAGTCCAAAGACAGGATATTCTAAATAATTAAAACAGAGAAAAAGGAAAACAAGACCAAACCAAACCAAAAATCAATCAAGAGATTGAAGTTTTGGCCAATGCTTCACTAATGATACTATTGATTACATTGTGGTGCAGTCAGAATAAATCCAATATGCTTGCAGAGTGCTGCAAGTAAATGGTCCTAAAACATCAATGAATAAACCCAGTGGATTTAAGCCCAACAAATTTGATGTGTCAGAATAATGACACAAAAGTAAATTTGCCTCAGTTGGAGGCCGTAAATAAATCGACCAGACTCTATTGTACCCATGCAGTTGCGTATGTATTGTAAATAGCATTATATTTCCACTGCACAGTGTAACAACAGTGACTCGAGTTCAAGTCATGTGGTTTAAGATGTACCATAGTGTGTTTGTCAATGGGTTTACTAGCAAAATGGTCTTTTAGGAGACGTGAAATGAGGAAGAGGAGAGAAGAGATGAGATGAACTCAAAAGGTAAAGCAAGCAACTGATCATAGTACATCAAATGTGGTACCATTTACTTCTGTTACACACTTTGGTGATGAGAAAATTACACCAAATACGGCAACAGACAGTCAAACAGTTTCACTGCCTGGAATGAATATATCTATTTGAAATTGCTGTGGAGGTACAAGACATGCAGTGTTTCTTAAAGTGTACAAAATATGGGTCGTATGATAACATGAAGTGACTCATGCAGTCCTTTTGATATGAATGTTTCAGTGTTTTTTTAACTGTAATGCAGTTGTAGTTTAGTAAGGTACACAAATAAATCCCTTCATTGCCGCATTTCACATATACACATAGAGACGTGGACACACACACACACACAATCAATCACACATACACATGCACACACTACACACAGTGTTAATATCATAATAACACCAGCAGTTTTCTGACAAATGCAGTTAAGTATTGCTCACTGTTGTTGGTTATTCTGCTTTTTCAGCAGGACCTAGTAGCCTATATTGGTACCTTTGGTAACTATGGTATTTTATGAATTGCAGTAAAGGGACATTGTACGTTTGGTAATGACATATTTGTTGTATGATAGCTGTATCTATAAATATATCCAATGTTAAATCAATGAATTTTATACAAAACCCTTGAATAAAACACGCAGAGGAAAAGCCTTGTTCAAGCATGTTCTGGGTCTTATTCATTTAATCAAATTAAAATGGGGAATTTCAATTCAATTCAATTTCAGTTCAATTCAGTTCAATTCCTTCATTGTACAAGAAACTGAAAATATTATAAATGTTTTTATTTTTTTATTTTATACACTTTTTCATAATTGCATAACCTCCCTGACAAACTCCTAGAGGCAGACTGTTTCCCACCTTATTTGCACATAGTGCATAGCTAAAACCACAACCTCCTCCTGAAACTCCCCCAATGAATGCTGGAATCCTCACTTCCTCCCAACAAGTGACAACTTCCTGTAGAGGTTAACGTGGCTCGGTGACCTGCAGGATATCCTGCCATTGTGAAAGTGGTTTTGACAGCCTCCACTGCACTCGTTTGCGCACTGTTGTGTCTGTACACATTGTGAAACAGCCATACTGGTCGAGACTCCCTCCGCCCGTGCTGTAAGTTATTCACTTACGCAATCGAAAAGTTATGTGGTTGTTAATAAGACATTAGAAAAGTAGTTGTAGCATTGCCACATAAATGCTACTTTTTAGTCTACTTCCCTAGATTCTATAACTCTACACAGCAGACTTTGCCACCAGTACCACTACTATAACAGCATCAGCTCTTAGACATTTCTAAAAACTATAATTGCTTCCAGAGAGCATCAGAGACATCCAGGTGTTTGGAGACCTCTCCTATGCTGCACCCTGGCTGTGCTGGGACTGACTGAGAGGGGCTCTCTGGGTTAATGCCTGTCAAACATTTACCTGCTTCAGTGTTCCTGACTCTCCAAAAACACACAGACTCACAAAAAGAGAGGGATACAGGGAGTGTTTATGAGGGATTGAAAGGGAGGGAATGAGAGGAGGCTTGTGCCTGTGTATGTGTGTACGTGTTTGTGAGAGCAGGCTTATATGAGTGTGTATGTGCTTGTTCTGCATAGATCTATACGTGTGTGCATGTTTGTGTGTGTGTGTGTGTGTGAGCTGGTGTGTTCGTGTGTTTATCAGCTCAGTGCAGATGGGTGGCAGAGTGGCTCTTGCAGCCAAATGATTCAGTATGCTAATGAGTTGTTATCTGTGGCGCTGCAGGAACAATATACTGTCTTTCTCACAGTGGGAATCCAGCCTGCTGGGAACAGATTACACTGCACACATCGCCAAGGTAGTTATTTATATTTTCACACAGAGTAGTAGAAAATACATAAACGCACACACACGCGCGTGCACACACACACAGCTAGGCCTATAAACAAACAAGCAAAATAACATTTTAACACACACACACCACCAACAGCAGCATAAATTAAGTGTAAATGTGAGGTAAATTTATGTCCTTCACCAGTAGATGGAGATGTCTTTCTGGGCTTTCCTTTTTTAACAGGTTTCAGGGCTATGTCTCTGTTCATTATTCTTCATAAAATATTACATATGCCCTCAATTAAAGTTAACTTTAAATTCACCCAGAATATTGTTATTTTTGTTCAATCAATAAAGCCTCTCCAATTTAGTTTTTAGCTTAAAAGACTCAATCTCTGCTGAAAATGTTGTCATTCCAGTCGTGTTCAAAATGATCAAATCAGCTGCAAAAGTGACCACCTTTAGTCATTATCTAACTCATTCCAAAATTGCACTTTTAATTATATGCAAAGTTCACACATCATGTTTATATTTACACATATCATATTTAATAAAATTTCAGTTGTAATTAATTTCTATCCTTTTGACTTCTGATTCATAAGGTCAGATGTTAGATTCAGAAGAGAAAGGTATCACTTACCTTTTTAATTATTCCTATATAAAAGACGCAAATTAACAAAACAAAACAGGCTTTGATTGATGATGCTTATTTAGACATGATTCAAAATATAATTCACCAGTGTTTGTTATGTCGCTATATTTCGTGTAATAGAAAATGTTCTTCTTCTGTGCCACCAGCATTGTAGCTGTATTTATGTATTTTAACTTACGTGAAGTGTCTGTAAGAAGCAGGATAAGCGCTCTATAAATAAAATGTATTATTATTTTCTTCAGAGGAAAAATTACTTAGATGCACAACATCAAACATCATGACAGAATAAGTGAAGAGTAACCACTCTCTCATGCAATCACTTATCCTTTTAACATACCAATACAACACACAGAAGACTAATAAATGTAGAAATCACCTAGCAATGTAGATTTCATTTAGGCGCTCTGATTTTCTTCTACTCATTATAAATCTTTTCCTGAACATCTTTGTGTTGAAAAAGCAGCCTGACCTGAAATCCTTTCATGTGACCCGATATATGAAGCCAAATTATTGCATTAAAATGGACCAAGCTGCTCAAAACAATTAACATTACCATCAAAAACAATATCTCTCTTGTAAGATTGAATCACTTTATATGTAAGATAATATACAGATTTTCAGTGATTAATATTTCTAGTCAAATGTCTGGAGAAGAAAGGCTGTTGTGTTTTCTAATTTAGTCATTATGACACTACACAATGAAATATATTTTAAAGTTGGTAGTGCAGTCTTCCCACTTTGTTTTAAAAAATACATCACAACATAAAAATGTCTCAGTAACCTCTCAGAGAAATAAAATACTAAATGTAATTTATCTTCTAGATGGATTTGCTGTTGTGTACAGGAAAAGGAGTTAATATAATTTTCAATCTGGAGAGTAGTCTTGACTGAGTCAAATGAGATACAGTGTAGCATTTGTAAAAGTCAATGGTATTTTTCTCTGTACAATGTGGGTACTCTAGAGTATTATTTATAGTGCATTCATCTCTCTCTGATGCAGAGGGTTATCTGGCCTGTTCAGTGCTAAAGCAGCCAATTTGTTGTTATGGGTGTGTAATGTCAATGAAGCATCCATTTTACTTGTATCAGCCACTGGGTGATGTGTTTTTAAACCCATATCAGTTTTCTGTGTTCCTGTGGGTCTGACTCACCTTTACTACTGCCTTCAATCTGTGCTGATAATTAAGAGACACAATAAGGCTTTAGCTCCTGTTCTTATTACTGATTCTGTACTGCCTTTTAGGGCTAGTAAATCACTATATTCATATAATGAACCATTTTCAGGAATTGTGGTGAATGACAAGTGGGAGTGAGAAATTTTGCCTGCCTCAAAGGCTTAAGTATTTATGCTTTTGTTTTGCAGTCCATAGGTGGACAAGAACATATTAAGTCTTAATTTGTTTTTTGTGAATTTAAACAGTTTTCTATTGGAATATCCTATTTTTTCCATATATTGTCACCTTCTCATTCACTGTCTGCAACATTTTCTACTTTCTCTGTACTGATCTCTGCATTTAACAGTGCTCTCCAATGCTGCTTTACAAAACTTGGGCACCTTACACCCTCTAGTGGGAACCAAATGCAATTATGGATTATTTACTTCAATTGTTTCCAAACTCACTGACACAGGGCTTATCTATTATAATTGCAATGACTAATAGCTTATAAATTGGCTTCTAGTTCTGGTTGTAAATAAGTAAAACTCAAGGGTCATCCATTTCAAGCATAGCCGTTTTTAATGCATTGTTACAAAGAACTGAAGTGTTGCATACAGCAGTAGAATCAAGCCTCATCCATCTCCAAATAGACCAAGGCAAGCAAAGCATTTGGTTTGATAAGCACGACAGCAACGAGCAGATACGGAAGCAGCAGTATTTAGCTGAATCACATTAATTTGACAGAGCAGTGCAATAGGCAGAAGGTTGTGCAGAGTCTACAAGAAGTTACATTCAGGGCACATTCAAGGTCAAAGGCTGCAGTCACACGTTATTCTATAGCAGTGGGTTTGCTCTTGGAGTCTGGGTAAAGCAAGAAGCCAGAGAAAGTGCTGTCATCCTCGCTGCTGGAGTAAACTCCATTCCAGTCTCTCAGTGTCTCCAGCCACACCTGGTCGCCTTCAGTCAGATGCATCAGTGCGAGGTTGGATGCCTGATCGATGTCCTGGCCGTACAGAGAATCCCGGGTCCGCAGCTTCCGTACCCCATTTATCACTAGGGCAGCACGCACAGGACGGTTGCGCACAGTGATGTGGTAACTGAATAGGTAGACCCCCGGGTAGGTGACGTTGAACTTGTTGAGTGTTGGGTCCCAGTGCCCCTCCCCATTGTAAAACACCTTATCAAACTTCACAGGCAAGCTGGGCGGAGGGAAGGACCTGCTGGGAAACAAGCCCACACTGAAGGCAGAGCGAATCAGCTCCACGCTCTCACCTGGTGGGCCTTTAGGACCCCGAGGCCCACGCACACCTTTAAGTCCCCTCTCCCCCCTCAGCCCTGCTATGCCCCTCCCTCCAGGAGGTCCTGGGGGACCTCTGGCACCAGTATCCCCCTTCACTCCTGGAGGCCCTGGCTCTCCTCTCTCTCCCTTTGCACCATCAGTTCCATTCACTCCCATCTCACCTCTCAGACCAGGGGGCCCACGCTCACCCACATCACCTTTCTCGCCTGGTAAACACTCGCCTATAAGTCCCTGTTCACCTTTCTGACCCTTTGTCCCAGCTACCCCAGGGGGACCCATGGGCCCCTCTCGCCCGACGTTGCCCTTAGTCCCATTCAGGCCAGACTCTCCTCTTTCTCCCGGGTCTCCTTTCAGACCGCTGAAGCCACGTTCACCTTTCTCTCCTTTGGGGCCCGGATCACCTATAGTATGTAGAGAAGTTATTTTCATATAGGAAGACATGTTTGAATTGCCTTATAGTTTTCAAACAGAAATGTACATTTGCACACCTTTATAGGGTGCATACCTATTTTAATCTAATTCAGTATGAATAAAATGTACATAATTTCTATAGAATTCCTTGTAGAAAATTACACACCTCTCTCTCCTGGTTTTCCTGGGATCCCAGGGGCACCAGGAACACCCACCAGCCCTGGATCACCTTTTTCACCTGTGGTAGTTTTGATAAATAAAGCGTAGAAAATGACATCCACAAAGAACTTATACAAAACAGCGTTTTGCACAAAAGGAGTGAGGGATAGAGACACAGAAAGGGAGAGACATTCAAAAACTCTCCTGCTGTTAAGCCCCGTTGTACCTATGTCGCCATTGAGTCCGTTGGCTCCAGGTAGTCCTGCTGGTCCCGGAAGCCCTCTGAGCCCTGTTTCTCCCCTCTCTCCTGCTAATCCTGGAAAACGGAGAACAGTATGAAGAGGGACAAATTTTGACATCCAAAAGGTAATTTTCCTAAAAATTATAATCCATGATCTTACCTGGAGGGCCTCTTTCTCCTGGCGGTCCCGGTGGCCCTCTTTCTCCCATGGGCCCAATGGGGCCTTTCTCTGGTGGACAGCACTCACAGACGTTGTAGAAACATTCATTGTAGTCAAGGCTAAAGTTTCCATGTGGGATCCCAGGAGGCACTATGGCATCGGTGTGGTAATCAGTAGGGAAAGTGTCGCTGGAGTAGGTGGTACTGTCTGTAGGGGACAGGGAGGAAGCATCCATCATGACCTCAGTTGTCTCATCTGTGTGCATGCTGGAAGGGGATGTTGTCGTGGTGGTGGTCCGTCCTCCACCCCCACCTCCTCCGCTGCTCCCGGCTCGAGGGGGCTTCTTGGTGGTCTGAGGTTTGGGCCAGCGTGTGGTTCTGGCACTGGAGGTCAGCACGACCATCAGTGCCATGAGTAGAGTGGTCAGGAAGACTAGACGAATGGATGGCATACTGAAGGCTTGACACAATAATCTGCAGGGGGAGAAGAGTGGAAGTTTGAAGAAGATAGACAAAACAGGGGTAGTCCTTTGGAAAAGGTATATTCTATTATAACACAGTGCATCACGATGTACAAGAAAGCAACAAGTGCATCTTACCTGCTGATGTAGATTTTGTTGACTCTTCATTCCATCCCCTCCAACTAGTGATTAATGTAGGCAGCCTCCTTCCTTATATTGCCCTGCTAGCCCAACTTCTGCACCCTTAAGCCAATGAGAGAACAAGGGACAGAATACACCGGGGGTTATTAGGAGGTAGGTGGGCTGGCAAGAACAGATTACATGACTCCTGAGGGATATGAAATAAAGCAGGTTGTACACAAGGCAAGACTTTCTTCTTTGTGATATGGGATATGATTTCAGGACCCAGGAGTATGCGCGCTGCTAAAGCGTTGTTCACACACACGCTTGCTTTGTACACAAACAGCAGAAATATAAAGTTACAGACAAAGATACACATTTTCAGAACAGTGTACACGCATATAGTGCATACACACAAGCTTGCACATTGTTGGTAATGAAAAACATCTCATATGAGAGTAACCGAGTGCAACACCTTGTAGTGACCACACCATTTGGCAGTACCTCAAAGCAGAAAATGGATCACCACACACCCAGTGGGAGACGGATCAATGTCCCAAAACAGACGGCGTGGCAACATTGATCCAACCTTTCCTTGATCTAACCAACCCAAAGATCCCAGTAAATCCAGTAAACTGAATGAAAACCTGGTCCCACTGCATGGACTACTGAAGCAGGGGTATGTATGTGAATTTTAGTACAGGGTCAGAGGGGTTCATCTAAGCCTGTGTATTTCATATGCGCATGTAAGAGGTGTGGTAGACATGGAGATGTGTGGTGTCTGACTGTTCCGTAAAGTTATTCAGTACTCATACATCAGTAATAAAGACCTATGTCTGTTTCAATGCGTATTCCCCCAATCTTGTCCACAAGCCTTAAAATTATACCCCCACCCCCTTGTTGAAATGCCTACCGTGGTCCATGTCTCAAAATGTGATGAACAATTCAAAAAAGCAGAAAGTTGACACAGCAAAACGGCAGAGAAGGTCACTACGGACATCTGCAATTGTGTAGCTGAAGATATATCCTGAATAAATGCTGACAAACTGAGTGTATAGACTGCTTTATCATAGACATATTTTATGTAATCTGTTTGAAATACAAGAAAAAGCTCAAAAACAACAGTACAATGCAATGGTGCTCACTCTGATCAATACACTTAATGGAAATCTAATAGATACAGTACAGCATTATACTTAATACTTAAGGTAAGTAATTTGGTTAAATAGCAGATTGTCCTACAAAACTCCCGATGAACACCTTGTGTAAAACTTGGATTCTGACACTGCAGCAGAGCTTGTTTCAATTTTCAAAACACAAGCCCTCCCTTCATCCTATACTACACTGAATTATGGAAGTATATGAAAAGTGAAATTATTACTGACATACAAAATGCACCAGCATACCTGTGTTTTCATTTATTAGACCTGGTTATCTAAGTTGATAAATCATTTAACAGTTGAGTTAATATCACAAACAACTCTGACAACCTGAAGTTAGAGATACTACTAGCTACTCATTTAAAATTCAACTTAAATGAAATTATATAGTCAGACACCCCCTCTCTGTAATCTGACTCAAACACGGACAATCATTTTTTGCACTTTTTGCACATTATTAAACTGTACATTTTA